CTGAAGCTGGTCTTTAAAGTAGGAGGGATCTGTAGCTGGTCTTTAAAGTAGGAGGGATCTGTAGCTGGTCTTTAAAGTAGGAGGGGTCTGTAGCTGGTCTTTAAAGTAGGAGGGGTCTGTGGCTGGTCTTTAAAGTAGGAGGGGTCTGTAGCTGGTCTTTAAAGTAGGAGGGGTCTGTGGCTGGTCTTTAAAGTAGGAGGGGTCTGTAGGTGGTCTTTAAATAGGAGGGGTCTGTAGCTGGTCTTTAAATAGGAGGGGTCTGTAGCTGGTCTTTAAATAGGAGGGATCTGTAGCTGGTCTTTAAAGTAGGAGGGGTCTGTAGCTGGTCTTTAAATAGGAGGGGTCTGTAGCTGGTCTTTAAAGTAGGAGGGGTCTGTAGCTGGTCTTTAAATAGGAGGGGTCTGTAGGTGGTCTTTAAATAGGAGGGGTCTGTAGCTGGTCTTTAAATAGGAGGGGTCTGTAGCTGGTCTTTAAATAGGAGGGGTCTGTAGCTGGTCTTTAAATAGGAGGGGTCTGTAGCTGGTCTTTAAATAGGAGAGGTCTGTGGCTGGTCTTTAAATAGGAGGGGTCTGTAGCTGGTCTTTAAATAGGAGGGGTCTGTAGGTGGTCTTTAAATAGGAGGGGTCTGTAGCTGGTCTTTAAAGTAGGAGGGGTCTGTAGGTGGTCTTTAAATAGGAGAGGTCTGTAGCTGGTCTTTAAATAGGAGGGGTCTGTAGCTGGTCTTTAAATAGGAGAGGTCTGTGGCTGGTCTTTAAATAGGAGAGGTCTGTAGGTGGTCTTTAAATAGGAGAGGTCTGTAGCTGGTCTTTAAATAGGAGGGGTCTGTAGGTGGTCTTTAAATAGGAGGGGTCTGTAGCTGGTCTTTAAATAGGAGGGGTCTGTAGGTGGTCTTTAAATAGGAGGGGTCTGTAGGTGGTCTTTAAAGTAGGAGGGGTCTGTAGGTGGTCTTTAAATAGGAGGGGTCTGTAGGTGGTCTTTAAATAGGAGGGGTCTGTAGGTGGTCTTTAAATAGGAGGGGTCTGTAGGTGGCTTTAAATAGGAGGGGTCTGTAGGTGGTCTTTAAATAGGAGGGGTCTGTAGGTGGTCTTTAAAAAGGAGGGGTCTGTAGGTGGTCTTTAAATAGGAGGGGTCTGTAGGTGGTCTTTAAATAGGAGGGGTCTGTAGGTGGTCTTTAAATAGGAGGGGTCTGTGGCTGGTCTTTAAAGTAGGAGGGGTCTGTAGCTGGTCTTTGAAGTAGGAGGGGTCTGTAGGTGGTCTTTAAATAGGAGAGGTCTGTAGCTGGTCTTAAAATAGGAGGGGTCTGTAGCTGGTCTTTAAATAGGAGAGGTCTGTAGCTGGTCTTTAAATAGGAGGGGTCTGTGGCTGGTCTTTAAATAGGAGGGGTCTGTGGCTGGTCTTTAAATAGGAGGGGTCTGTAGCTGGTCTTTAAAGTAGGAGGGGTCTGTAGCTGGTCTTTAAAGTAGGAGGTGTCTGTGGCTGATCTTTAAAGTAGGAGGTGTCTGTAGCTGGTCTTTAAATAGGAGGGGTCTGTGGCTGGTCTTCAAAGTAGGAGAGGTCTGTGGCTGATCTTTAAAGTAGGAGGTGTCTGTGGCTGATCTTTAAAGTAGGAGGTGTCTGTGGCTGATCTTTAAAGTAGGAGGTGTCTGTGGCTGATCTTTAAAGTAGGAGGTGTCTGTGGCTGATCTTTAAAGTAGGAGGTGTCTGTGGCTGGTCTTTAAAGTAGGAGGGGTCTGTAGCTGGTCTTTAAAGTAGGAGGGGTCTGTAGCTGATCTTTAAAGTAGGAGGGGTCTGTAGCTGGTCTTTAAAGTAGGAGGGGTCTGTAGCTGATCTTTAAAGTAGGAGGGGTCTGTAGCTGATCTTTAAAGTAGGAGGGGTCTGTGGCTGGTCTTTAAATAGGAGGGATCTGTAGCTGGTCTTTAAAGTAGGAGGGGTCTGTCCTGTAGCTGGTCTTTAAAGTAGGAGGGGTCTGTGGCTGGTCTTTAAATAGGAGGGATCTGTAGCTGGTCTTTAAAGTAGGAGGGGTCTGTCCTGTAGCTGGTCTTTAAAGTAGGAGGGGTCTGTGGCTGGTCTTTAAATAGGAGGGATCTGTAGCTGGTCTTTAAAGTAGGAGGGGTCTGTAGCTGGTCTTTAAAGTAGGAGGGGTTTGTATGTGGTCTTTAAAGTAGGAGGTGTCTGTGGCTGATCTTTAAAGTAGGAGGGGTCTGTAGCTGGTCTTTAAAGTAGGAGGGGTCCTTGGGTTTCATCTAATTAGAAACCTCAGACATTTAACTCTCAAAGTCAGACATTTAATAATTCAGTGATTATACATGAGTCTTCACAATAGGAAGGGTGTGTAACTCATCCATGTGTAACTTCTACATGTGTAACTCATGCATGTATAACTCATACATGTGTAACTCATTTATTTGTAACTCATATATTTGTAACCCATACATGTGTAACTCATACATGTTTAACTCAAACACAGGATATATTCATGTTATGAATACCTTTGTTGTGGTTTATTTGCCGGTGTTAAACGAAGGCTTTTACTGTTTCAATTAAATAAATTTACACATTTAATATATACACTTTTTCTGTAACACTTTGAGAAATAACACCAACTTAAATATCATCATCAGCGTGGGCTCTTTGTGGGCCACTGAAGAAAAAAAAGCACACTGTGGGAACATTCCGAGTACAGTGAGGTCAAATAATTATTTAATTAATTAATTAATTAATTCAGAAAACACCAGAAAGATAAAAAATGGCACCATCAGATGGATTTTTCTTCTTCTTCTTCTTTGTGTTCACCAGCTGTAAACCCTGATGGAAAGTTCTGGTTGTTCGTCCACTTCTGGACTGCAGTTCTGTTCCAGAATTTGAGTGTTGTGTGTGCATCTGTTTCACAGATTTGACTAATGTGTATGCAGACTGTTGGTTCCTTGCCTCTCAGGCAGATGCAACTTGACTTTGAAGGAAACTGTCAATTAGTCGACCCTTGCGACATGCTTTTAGTTAGGCATTGGGTCTATTCTTGTTTTCCTTATAACAGGGCCACGGAAGCCACACGGTGAAGTTCAACCCCGAGAATTCTATCATAGTCATATGTTTAGCAAGTTCCTGTATAGTTATATCCCCTGTGTAGTAAATACAGTTTTAATACACGTGTTTAAATGTGCCAGTTAAGAATGGACTAATTGCCTACTTGTGCACTGCATTTCCTGTTCTTTTGCTTAATAAATTAATTGATAATTAAACTAACAATGTAATATATGCCACACTTTTCTATATAACACGAGACAAGGCAATAACCACAGATCCAGTACGAAACAATATAATAAAAAAGAAACGATTAATTATAAATATGGTATTCTTTTTAAACATGTACATTATCACAAATAAGTTGTTGAACTAAAGTCATCCCCATGTGGGACGCAAGTTGTCGTTGCCTTGAAGCCCCACGCCGGATTTTGCCCGGTGCCCCTATAATCTAACGGCTGAACGCGGCTTCTGGGACCTCTCCAGAGTGATCCTCATCCGCATGGTGGCTCTGTGTGATGTCCTGGTGGGGTAACATTTAACTTACTTACCACAAATAAGTGCCGATTGGTCTATAAAATGTAGTTCTGGCTATATATACCAACATGCCTCTCGGCGTGAAAAGGATGTTCTTCACTTCCTTAATTGGGAGTCGGGAGGTTGTGGGTTCGCTCCCTGGTGGAGCCGGTCTTTTTTCAAAAATTACTTTGACTCTCAGGTCGACCCAGCCTTGAGTGGGTCCCGCGTGCATTCCTTGGATGTAAAGGCGGTCGGCGTGATGCTGACAACACCATGCATTTTGTGCCGTTTGGTCTATAAAACTATAGGTCTAGCCCTATATGCCCTTTACGCCTAAAGGCGTAGAAAAAGAACCTTTACTTTTTTTTTTCAACTTCCTTAATTATCGCAAATAGGATAATTTAAAATAATATATTCATACTAACAGAACAATAAAATATTACAGGTCTTGTGCATATGTTGTCAAATATCGAGTAGTACAGCTCCCACTAAACGATAGGCTCCCGATACCATTGTAGTAATCAATGCAATTCAGTCCCTGCCAAATCGACTACAGCTGGAGTCGAATCCAGTACTTCGCATTACAAAGCACATTCGCAACGCCCCAAGCCATAGGTTGGTAACAAGTCTCTAGAAAATGTCACTGGCTGTGATGTCACAACTTGGAAACGCTTACATTTGTATTTACTCATGCACATATTATTAAAGAGGGTTGACCGAATTATTAGAAGGTACGACTCTTATGCAGGAGACCCGGGTTCAAATCCTCAATAAGATGATGGAAGTTTTTTTCTGTCGGGGGCCCCAAGAAATTGTAATCTATACATTCTTTTGCAACCACTAGATATGCAGCCCTTATTCCGTAGATGAAGAAGATACTTATCTAACTAGCAACCTCAGGATAGAAGTCCTATACTCCTATAGGAATATATAATACATGCAATATTCAATAACCAAAATGGGATACAGAGGTGCTGAACCAATCGTAATAAATGCACCACAACCAAGCCTCATACTGCTTAATATCTACACCTCTCCATGCTTATCTTAGAAACTGGTTTCCAGTTGCGAGCCTTTATCAAGTCTGTGTTTTCTTTGATGTCGAAGTGCTTCTGTCAGAAAATATTTTATATAATAAATAATGCAATAGTAAAAACAGTTTACTATTTGAAAACAAAGAACGTAAATGTTTACACGCAACACCTTTGTAGGTAGGATGGTAGGAAGGTAAGTTGTACCCCACCAGGACATCACACAAGCGATAAAGACCCGGTGACACAAAGTGTCACCATGCGGATGAGGCTCTGATCATCCGTGGAGAGTCCCGGAAACCCCGTTCAGCCGTTGGGCCATATTTGAGGCCCGGCTATATTTAGGGCCCCCAACAAAAGCCAGGGTGGGGCTTCAGAATAACTAAAAATTGCATCCCACATGGGGACAACTACAGTAAACACAGTTGTTCAAGACTCATAATCCTTCTCGTGCGAATTTCTAGACTGGTTCTGGTATATAAGTTTTGGCTGGCGAGGTGCTTCCAAACTGGCAATACGTTCTCCGTTATATCCCTGTGGATGGACATGTTTCTCAATGAGTGTTGAGATTAATTAATGAGGGTCATTGCATAACACAACATGTGAGATATTTATCAACGAGTGTAAGGTTTTATTAATGAGGGTCATTGCATAACACAACATGTGAGATATTTATCAACGAGTGTAAGGTTTTATTAATGAGGGTCATTGCATAACGCAACATGTGAGATATTAATCAACGAGTGTAAGGTTTTATTAATGAGGGTCATTGCATACCACAACATGTGAGATATAAATCAACGAGTGTAAGGTTTTATTAATGAGTGTCATTGCATAACACAACATGTGAGATATTTATCGACGAGTGTAAGGTTTTATTAATGAGGGTCATTGCATAACAGAACAGGTTGACAGAGTTAAGTTGAGTCAAGAGTTGTCATCACAGCACTCAGGGCATTCCCATGCATGCTCTCTCCCCCCCCCCCCCCCTCATCTTCAGCAGCCAATGCAGAGTTCTAATACTAATGGTATCGGTCACAATCTTGTTATATGTCCATCTTGCCTTTCCTGAGTATAGTTGAGCTGGTCAGACCCTCTGGTTACATTCAGGTGCCTAATTCTCTCCAGACCATAACAAAACAGGTGAGACATTGATCAACGAGTGTTAGCGTTTACTGATCAAGGTTAATGGACAACAAAATATGTGGGACATTCATCAGTGAGTGTCAGGGTTGATTAATTAGGGTGATTACATAACACAGTATGTAAGCTATTTATCAGCGAGTGTCAGTGATGATTAATGAGGGTTATTTTGTATTAGAACAGGCAAGACATTGATCAGCGAGTGTCAGATTTTACTGATCAACGGTTAATTAATTAGGATTATTACCTAATAAAACAGGTAAGAATTATATCAACAAGTGTCAGGGTTAATTAATTAGGATTATTACCTAATAAAACAGGTAAGACTTATATCAACGAGTGTCAGGGTTAATTAGTTAGGATTATTACCTAATAAAACAGGTAAGACTTATATCAACGAGTGTCAGGGTTAATTAATTAGGATTATTAACTAACAAAACAGGTAAGCCTTATATCAACGAGTGTCAGGGTTTACTGGTAAGAGTTAATTTAAATTTTGAAAAACAAATTTATTATGCAAGATATTTATCAACAAGTCTCGTGGTTTGCTGATCAGAGTTAATTTTAAAAAAAACATGTCAGATATTTATCCAGTGTCAGGGTTTTCTGATCAAAATTAAGAGGGAAAAGAAACCAATATCTAAGATATTAATCAACAAGTGCCAATCAGAATTACAATAAAAAATAATATTTAATATATTTATCAATGAATATCTGGGTTTACTGATCAGGGTTAATAGAAAATAGAACAAGTAAGATATTTGTTAATGAATTTCAGGGTTTACTGATCAGGTTTAATAGAAAATAGAACAAGTAAGATATTTGTTAATGAATTTCAGGGTTTACTGATCAGGTTTAATAGAAAATAGAACAAGTAAGATATTTGTTAATGAATTTCAGGGTTTACTGATCAGGACTATAAGAAAACATATTATGCCTGATATTTTTTTTCAGTTTGTTTCAGAGTTTGCTCTGTTAAACTCAATGTACACATGTAGCACAGTCAATGACGTCAGAACCCCTACCTCCCTCCCTCTCCCCCACCCCTTTTTGTAGTTATGTTTTGTTAGCCCACCTCAATACATTTTGGCAGGGTTGAATGCTTCCACCCCCCTCCCCACCAAAAAATGGTCATTTTGACCCTCGCAGATAAGAACCTACAATCTTCGAGACTTAGAAGATGAGGGACTAGTAGCATAGACCCTCACATGCTAGGAAGAACCTTCAGTCATGGAGATGCCAGCTTAACACTAGAAAGAGAGAGACATGAGTAGCATGGAGCCTCAAAGACAGCAGTTGTTGGTAAGTGGGGCGGAGGGTGGGTGAGCTCTGCCTCTGACACTTATCGGGAATTCAACCCCCTGCCCCTAAAGGAACCGGCCCCCCCTATTCATGAACCCCAAGCCACAAACACTGATTCTGAAAATGCTACTTTCTAGAAAATCACATGACACAGAAACTCTTACATGGTGCATAGGATTGTGATCTTGGCTACCGCCGTGCTCAGCGTGCATACCTAGGAACATAGAGGTGTGTGTTTACATGACAAGCATTTCTAAACTAGTGCCACAAACTGTGAATATCTAGCTGAAACATAAAATGCGTACTGTTTATAGAGCAGAACAACAAAGAACGATTAAAATAATTAATAATTAAAACAGTGTTTCACAAACTTTTCTTGGTGGCAGCGCCTTTTTTTTTTCATTTAAAATTTGTCCACGGCGCCTTTACCTAAGTAAAAATATGACTATTCGTGTCTTGGTTACATTAATTATAAAGCTTTTACAATATTTTGCGTCGCACAGTTTGAGAAGCACTGATATGATTAACTACAATCATTTGTTAACTAGGCCTGCACAGAAAAGAAGGAATTAAATGATTGGGTATTTTCTTCGGGAGATGTAGGAGTCTTGGCAAATGAACAGGCTAACTGGCTGGTTGTGCACCAATGAGTGGCGAATTAGTGGACTCCTATGACATGCTTGCTGGGGAGGCAGTGGTTCTATTCTTGGGGCCCTGAAACCCACACAGGGAATAGTTTCTTTAGACCTCCACAAATTTCATTGTGTAATGAAAGCTAATTTATTATTATTATTATTTTGTTAATAAACATTAAACTACAGCATCCTTCCATTGTCCATATATTTAAAAGGCGCATATATTTCAAAGTTTTCTGAGATCTGCCAATGACAGACCTTATTATACCACTTTTGCGATGTAGGCAGGGGGTCTTTGAGTCTGAGGATTTACTGCCCCATAGCTAGTGCTGTTGCCACGACTGTGCAGGTGATTGTTTTTATTTTGCCGACAGAAAAAATCCCCAGCCTTACCGAGGATTCGAACCCGTGTCTCCCGCTTGAGAGCCCAGCGTTCTAACCGTTCAGCCAGCCGCTTCTGTTTCAGAGATCAACTGGGGTAATGTGAAACGGTAGGGGGTCACGCTTAATGCCTCGTCCAGTCTATCCCGATCCTGGAGAAAGGGCAAACTGAAAGTGCAAAATCCAACTTGGCAAGCATGTTATCGCAAACGACAGAGTGAAGGTTACAGCTACAAGCAATCATTAGCAAGGGAGGGGAAAAGGGGGGGCGGATAACAAGGGGACATTAATGTAATTGAACGAGGGAACAGAAGATATGAAATTCTAGAAAGTCAAAATATGTGAAATCTGATCAATGTCGGGAATATAGAGAAGAGAGGGGAGGTGTTAGTACTAAAAATAACATGAATTCCTGTGATTTAGGAGTGGATGGTCCCTTTATGGACTTGAAAAACTCTTATGTCCTTGTGGGATGAAATGTTTCGTTATTTTGAAGCCCTACTCTGGCTCTTGCAATGGTCGTAATATAGACCAGCCATTGGATGAAACTCATCCATATGGTGGCACTTTGTATCATCAGGTGTTAATCGCTTGTGTGATGTCCTTGTCGGGACCACTACTACTAAATTATGCTAAGAGAGAAAAGTGTTTGTGTGTGGGTGGGGGGGGGGGGGGGGGGTTAGGGGGTGGGAGGTGAGGATGTCAGATGAAGACTTCAACTCTTGTGCTGTGAGGAAGAAGAGAAGGGTTCTTTCTATGGCAGATGGAATGATGACAGATGGAACAGATGGAATGATGACAGATGGAACAGATGGAATGATGACAGATGGAACAGATGGAATGATGACAGATGGAATGATGACAGATGGAATGATGACAGATGGAATTATTATAGATGGAATGATGACAGATGGAATGATGACAGATGGAATGATGGCAGATGAAAATGTTGACAGACGGAATGATGACAGATGGAATTATTACAGATGGAATGATGACAGATGGAATGATGACAGATGGAACAGATGGAATGATGACAGATGGAATTATTACAGATGGAATGATAGCAGATGGAACAGATGGAATGATGACAGATGGAATGATGACAGATGGAACAGATGGAATGATGACAGATAGAATGATGACAGATGGAATGATGACAGATGGAATGATGACAGATGGAATTAATACAGATGGAATGATGACAGATGGAATGATGAAAGATGGAATGATGGCAGATGGAACAGATGGAATGATGACAGATGGAACAGATGGAATGATGACAGATGGAATGATGACAGATGGAATGATGACAGATGGAATGATGACAGATGGAATTATTACAGATGGAATGATGACAGATGGAATGATGACAGATGGAATGATGACAGATGGAATTATTACAGATGGAATGATGACAGATGGAATGATGACAGATGGAATGATGGCAGATGAAAATGTTGACAGACGGAATTATGACAGATGGAATGGTGACAGATGGAATTATTACAGATGGAATGATGACAGATGGAATTATGACAGATGGAACGATGACAGATGGAACACATGGAATGATGACAGATGGAAATATTACAGATGGAATGATAGCAGATGGAACAGATGGAATGATGACAGATGGAATGATGACAGATGGAACAGATGGAATGATGACAGATGGAATTATAGCAGATGGAATGATGACAGATGGAATGATGACAGATGGAATGATTACAGATGGAATGATGACAGATGGAATGATGACAGATGGAATGATAGTAGATGGAATTATTACAGATGGAATGATGACAGATGGAATGATGGCAGATGGAATGATGACAGATGGAATGATAGCACATGGAATTATTACAGATAGAATAATGACAGATGGAATGATGGCAGATGGAATTATGACAGATGGAATGATGACAGATGGAATGATGACAGATAAAATGATGACAGATGGAATGATGGCAGATGGAATTATTACAGATGGAATGATGACAGATGGAATGACAGATGGAATGATGGCAGATGGAACAGATGGAATGATAACAGATAGAATGATGGCAGATGGAACAGATGAAATGATGACAGATGGAATTATTACAGATGGAATGATGACAGATGGAATGATAGCAGATGGAATGATGACAGATGGAATGATGACAGATGGAATGATGACAGATGGAATGATGACAGATGGAATTATTACAGATGGAATGATAGCAGATGGAATGATGACAGATGGAATGATGGCAGATGGAATGATGTCAGATAAAATGATGACAGATGGAATGATGACAGATGGAGTTATTACAGATGGAATGATAGCAGATGGAATGATGACAGATGGAATGATGGCAAATGGAATGATGACAGATGGAATGATGTCAGATAGAATGATGACAGATGGAATGATGACAGATGAAATGATGACAGATGGAATGATGACAGAATGAATGATGACAGATAAAATGATGACAGATGGAATGATGACAGATGGAATGATAGCAGATGGAATTATTACAGATAGAATGATGACAGATGGAATGATAGCAGATGGAATTATTACAGATGGAATGATGACAGATGGAATGATGACAGATAGAATTATGACAGATGGAATGATAGCAGATGGAATGATGGCAGATGGAATAATGACAGATGGAATTATGGCAGATGGAATGATGACAGATAAAATGATGACAGATTGAATGATGACAGATGGAAAGATGACAGATAAAATAAGGACATATGGAATGATGACAGATAAAATGATGACAGATGGAATGATGACAGAAGGAATGATGACAGATGGAATGATAACAGATAAAATAATGACAGATGGAATGATGACAGATAAAATGATGACAGATGGAATGATGACAGATGGAATGATGATAGATGGAAAGATGACAGATAAAAAGATGACAGATGGAATGATGATAAATGGTATGTTGACATTGATTAAATAATATTTGAATGCTGATATAAATCAGATGAAAAGATGAAATGATTATCTACGTTAAATGATGACACATGTGAAATAGTAGTGATGACACGTAAAGTGGATCATCTCATTGTCCTGTTTGTGCCATTATACGTCACATAAGGCCCACCGTCTATTTTTGCATTACGTTCTATCCAATGCCAACCTTTCGATATCATAGATGGAATTCAGTCCAGCACCTTTGGCTTCTCCCATCAACATTCATATCAGGGTTTCTTTTGAACGTAATCGCTTCCACAATGGTTTTATTTAACAGTTTAATGTATGCATCATGATTCGCTGTTCGTTTCAACTGGGGATGTACTTGAAATAGAGCCACATTCTTTGTGTTTTACTGAAATGTTGATGAATGCGTGAGTGACGTCCAGCTCTAATAGGACCGTACAACGAGCGATAAACACCCGCTATTTGAATCATAACCTCCCCAGTTCCTGTTCCAAAAACCTTGTTCAATTATTAGGTTAGATTATGGCCAGGGTAGGAGGTTATGATGGACATTAGGGCCCCCAACAACAGCCGGGGTGGGAGGTTATGATGGACATTAGGGCCCCCAACAACAGCCAAGGAGGATGTTTATGATAGACATTGTGGCCCCCAGTAACAGCCAGGGTGGAAGCTTATGGTGGACATTAGGTCCCCCAACAACAGCCGGGGTGGGAGGTTATGATGGACATTATGGCCCCCAGCAACAGCCAGGGTGGGAGCTTATGGTGGACATTAGGCCCCCAACCACAGCCAAGGAGGAAGTTTATGATTGCTATTAGGGCCCCCAACCACAGCCAAGGAGGAAGTTTATGATTGACATTAGGGCCCCCAACAACAGCCGGGGTGATAGCTTATAATGGACATTAGGGCCTTCAGCAACAGCCGATGCGGAAGTTTATGATGGACATTAGGGCCATCAACAACAGGTGAAGCGGAAGTTTATGATGGACATTAGGGTCTCCAACAACAGCTGAGGCGGAAGTTTATGATGAACATTAGGGCCCCCAACAACAGCCGAGGCGGAAGTTTATGATGGACATTAGGGCCCCCAACAAAAGCCTGGGGGCAAATTTATGATGGACATTAGGGCCCCCAACAAAAGCCGAAGAAGCGGAAGTTTATGATGGACATTAGGGTCTCCAACAACAGCTGAGGCAGAAGTTTATGATGAACATTAGGGCCCCCAACAACAGCCGAGGCGGAAGTTTATGATGGGACATTAGGGCCCCCAACAAAAGCCGGGGAGGAAGTTTATGATGGACATTAGGGCCCCCATGGGAGTCGCCATGGCAGAGAGGCTAGACGTGCGGCACGGATCGGAAGGTCGTGGGTTCGCTGCTTGGCGGAGCCGACTTTTCTTCAAAAATGACCTTGGATCCCAGGTCGACCCAGCCTTGAATGGGTACCGGCTGCAGTCCCGGGAAGTAAAGGCGGCCGGTGTGATGCTGACCACATCACCCATCTTGTACCGTTGGTCTATAAAAATATAGATCTAGCCCTATATGCCCTATACGCCTAAAGGCATGGAAAGGGTCCTCTACTTTACTTTTACTTTTACCTACTTATTAGGGTCCCCCAACAACAGCCGAGGCGGAAGTTTATGATGGACATTAGGGCCCCCAACAACAGCCGAGGCGGAAGTTTATGATGGACATTATGGCCCCCAACAACAGCCGGGGTGGGAGCTTATGGTGGACATTAGGGCCCCCAACCACAGCCAAGGTGGAAGTTTATGATTGCCGTTAGGGCCCCCAACAACAGTCGGGTTGGAAGCTAATGACAGACATGTGTGGAAAAAGCCAGAGATTATAGACTATATGTCATCAATTATATCAAACAGGGTAATAAAAAGAAGGTGGTTGGGGGGGGGGGGGGTGAGACTATGAATTCTCTGTGGCGCATAAACTCTACAACACAATGCTACTGAACCAATTTACCATTACCTTTAGTTCCACTTTGGGCTGACGAGACAGTCTCGTTGGATATGGTCCCATATTCTGTGAAAAGAAGACAGTTCTTAGTAATGTCTGTGAACGACTGAAACAGCACTTTTTCTTCTTATTCACTTCTTCTTTTACCGCCTTGAGTGTCGAGAGAGTATAAGATTCTTCTTCTTGTTCTTCTGACAGCTCTACAGTGCTGTTGTAGTCTCTCTGATGTTGTCTTTTCAGCGCCTTCTTAGTCTACTTCGTGCTCTACGTCCTTCTTCTCTTTTTGTGGATGCATTAAATGGTATAGCGTCGCAAGCAATTCTCTCTAACTGGACAAAACCTTTGATTTTCTTTCTTTGTTTGTAATTTAGAATTGATTCTATGCTGATTTGTATGACCACATTCCTGATGTTATCTCTTCCTATCATTCCTCCCGCCTTTCTCAGACAGTTCTTTTCCATGGTTGTTAATTTTATTTTCTGGTTTTTTTGTGTGGGTGACCAAGTCTGGCACTGAAAGCAAGGGGTGCGAATGAATATGTTTTGTGTGACATGGATATTTCGTTGTGCTGACTGGGATTGTCTTGTGTTGTAAGAAACTGGGAAGAAAAAGAAACACAGTTTACAGCATTTAAATACATGTTCACCATCACTGTCGTCATAAACATCACCATCTTCATGTATCAGAAACTTTCCAGAGTGTCGCTTTCCTCATGGCATGCTGAAAGTCCTTTTTGCTTACTGCCAGCATGTGCTTCGTCATCCAGGATCCATACCTCCGTGACTATTCTCATCAAGCTGGTGCTGGTGATGGTGGTGGTGGTGGTAGTGATGGTGGTGGTGGTAGTGGTGGTGGTAGTGGTGGTGGTGGTAGTGGTGGTGGTGGTAGTAGTGGTGGTGGTGGTGGTGGTGGTAGTGGTGGCGGTGGTGGTGGGAGTAAATGTGGTGGTGGTAGTGGTGGTAGTAGTGGTGGTGGTGGCGGTGGTGGTGGTAGTGGTGGTAGTAGTGGTGGTAGTGGCGGTGGTGGTGGGAGTAAATGTGGTGGTGGTGGTGGTAGTGGTGGTGGGAGTGGGATTAAATGTGGTGGTGGTGTTGGTGGTAGTGGTGGTGGGAGTGATTATGGTGCTGATGATGGTGGTAGTGGGAGTGGATGTGGTGCTTGTGATGTTGGTGATAGTGGGAGTGGATGTGGTGCTTGTGATGTTGGTGGTAGTGGAAGTGGATGTGGTGCTTGTGATGTTGGTGGTAGTGGGAGTGGATGTGGTGCTTGTGATGTTGGTGGTGGTGGGAGTAAATGTGGTGGTGGTGGTGGTAGTGGTGGTAGTAGTGGTGGTGGTGGCGGTGGTGGTGGGAGTAAATGTGGTGGTGGTGGTGGTAGTGGTGGTGGGAGTGATTATGGTGCTGATGATGGTGGTAGTGGGAGTGGATGTGGTGCTTGTGATGTTGGTGGTAGTGGAAGTGGATGTGGTGCTTGTGATGTTGGTGGTAGTGGGAGTGGATGTGGTGCTTGTGATGTTGGTGGTGGTGGGAGTAAATGTGGTGGTGGTGGTGGTAGTGGTGGTAGTAGTGGTGGTGGTGGCGGTGGTGGTGGGAGTAAATGTGGTGGTGGTGGTGGTAGTGGTGGTGGGAGTGATTATGGTGCTGATGATGGTGGTAGTGGGAGTGGATGTGGTGCTTGTGATGTTGGTGGTAGTGGGAGTGGATGTGGTGCTTGTGATGTTGGTGGTAGTGGGAGTGGATGTGGTGCTTGTGATGTTGGTGGTAGTGGGAGTGGATGTGGTGCTTGTGATGTTGATGGTAGTGGTGGTGGGAGTGAATATGGTGCTGATGATGGTGGTGGCCGTGGCAATGATGATGATGATGTTGATGTAACTATAAACTCCTACCCGGCTGTGGTTCCTCTGTCAAATGAGTGTTTGTCGTGCTGGACAAATTCCTGGCCACACCAGATGGGACACCGTGTGGAGCCAAATGAGCATTGTCTTCCACTAACTCTTGTGGCAGCCTGCCATTGTGAGAAAACTTCCCTTGCTTCTGTGAGCCAAATTATATTAGACAGTTATATATATCACATGAGGCGTAATACAATATACACAATGGGAGGAAACAGCTCATGCTTAAAGCATTGTGTTTGGTGGGTGTCTTTTGTGGCGCAATTCTTCTTGAGTTTGAATATACTGTAAAGTATTAAGGCATAAATGTTTTTTTTTTCTTCTTCTTCTTCTTCTTCTTCTTCTTCTTCTTCTTCTTCTTCTTCTTCTTCTTCTTCTTCTTCTTTCTCTTTTTCTTCTTCTTCTTCTTCTTCTTCTTCTTCTTCTTCTTCTTCTTCTTCTTCTTCTTCTTCTTCTTCTTTTCCCTCTTCTTCTTTTTCTTTTTCTTCTTCTGCTCCTCCTCCTCATCGTCTTCATCATTCTTTGCTTCCTCCTTCTCATCCTTCTCTTTTCTATTCTTCTTCCTCTTCTTCTTCTTCTCCTCCTCCTTCTCCTCCTCTTCCTCATCGTCATCATTATCCTTTGCTTCCTCCTTCTCATCCTCATCATTTCTGTTCAAGATGATTTTCATTTCCTCAGGGCTGTTATCATCTTGTTGTTCCACCTTTCAAGAGGTCATTCTTCTGCTCTGTATATGCTATACTTCTTCAGCGTGGCTCTCTGTGGCAGCTGGTTTCAGAGCATTCCTGTCAAATGGCCAGATCATCTCATTTGTTCATCTGTAAAAATATGTCTGACTAGTTTCTTCCCTAGTCGTCTTCTATTTTTTTTTAATTTTTCAATGTTATCTTTTCTTGCTAAATGGTTGGGGCATGTTGAAAAAAATGTCAGATGACAGAGAAGTAAAAACGGTATACACAAGGGAGATGAATGGTCGTAGACCACGAGGCAGACCAAGAAGACGATAGAGAGATAATGTCCAGACAGACCTTCGAACACTTGGTGTCACCAACTGGAAAGATGCGGCCAACCAGAGAGATGAATGGTTGAAAAAAATGTCAGATGATAGAGAAGTAAAAACGGCATACACAAGGGAGATGAATGGTCGTAGACCACGAGGCAGACCAAGAAGACGATAGAGAGATAATGTCCAGACAGACCTTCGAACACTTGGTGTCACCAACTGGAAAGATGCGGCCAACCAGAGAGATGAATGGGGGCGGGTGTTATCTGCAGCAATGAATCTCAGGGGGTCGGAATGCTGAAGAAGAAGAGGAAGATTGTTTCTTGCTACAGACAGCTCTTCTGATCCATCTCATCTCTGTCGGTAAGCTTGTGTGGTTATTAGTTTTAGTAAAGGTCCAGGTTTGACACTGGCAACGGAAAGCTGGCCCCAAAAAAAAATTTTTTTCAAAGATTTAGCTTTACATGCAAAGGTATATTTCTTTGAGTCGAAGTTGTTAGCTGGCCCAAAAACAGGTACCCTTTATGACACAAAAATACGGTACGTTTATGGAACCATATTGCCAACAAGGTTATTGGGGTGGGGATGGGCTGCTTACTTTCCGTAAATTGTGGCATATAAGACAGATCGGGCAGTACCCAGCGCTGACAATTTCAACCCCCCCCCCCTCCCCCAGTGACGACATTCAGGGCGCTTCAACCCCTCCCACTACCTTTTCCCGCACCCCCTCCTACGCCACTGGGTATTGTCCTAATTTAGAAATTATTTAAGCTACATATTATATTCAGGTCAGTTTCTAGGCCAGGTCACCATGTAGGCTAACATTAATAGTATATTGCTTATTCTTTTCTCTCTCCACTACGAATGTCGGGAGTCACCGTTGTACAGCGGCTAGACGCTGGCCTACGGATCGGATGGTCATGAGTTCGGGTCCTGAGGAACCAGGCTTTCTTTCCAAATGACCTTGACTCCCAGGTTGACCCAGCCTTGAGTGGGTACCAAGTGCAATCCTTGGAAGTAAAGTTGGCCTGCGTGATCACCCACCAAGTGCCAATTGGTCTATAAAATATAGGTCTAGCCCTAAATTGCCCTATACGCTTGAAGGCGTGGGAAAGGGTTTTGTACTTACTTTTTGTTAGTACGAATTTTCGCATGATTATTTGTTCACCTTTCATACTCACCTGTAAGTACACATTGATACCAAAGAACTTACCTGTAAGTGCATATTGATACCAAAGTGCTCACCTGTAAGTACACATTGATACCAAAGTACTTACCTGTAAGTACACATTGATACCAAAGTACTCACCTGTAAGTACACATTGATACCAAAGTACTTACCTGTAAGTGCATATTGATACCAAAGTACTCACCTGTAAGTACATATTGATACCAAAGTACGTAATGAGGACAATGATGCACGTTATACCATAAATACGGAAAGTGACCACACTTCCTGTGAAATAGAAACAAAACAAACAAATGGCTATTTCTTCTTCTTCTTCTTCTTCTTCTTCTTCTTCTTCTTCTTCTTCTTCTTCTTCTTCTTCTTCTTCTTCTTCTTCTTCTTCTTATGCTGCTGCTTCTGCTGCTTCTTCTTCTTCTTCTTCTTCTTCTTCTTCTTCTTCATATGCTGCTGCTTCTGCTGCTTCTTCTTCTTTTTCTTGTTCTTCTTCTTCTGAGTGTGTCCTTGAGAGGACTGATTGCAAGATTCGCGGCGGTTTACAATTATGCTGCAACATCTGTATCTTTCGTCTGAACAATCCGATTTCAACAAACAACAATCAGTCGCCTTCTATGAATTGCTTGTCTGGCAATGGGTCATACCTGTTATCCTGAAAATGAAGTCCCAAAATGAACACAAGGGCCATTGTTCACAATCTTTCACTCTCCTTCTAAGGGTATTTTTATAGATGGTCCTGGCTCCCAGGTCGACCCAGTTGAAAGTAAAGGCCACCAGCTTGATGTTTACTGCATCCCTATCGAGTTTGAATTGTCTATAAACTAATGGATTTAGCGTGTGCATAAATTCACAGCTGTACTTGTCACTAAGAGAGCTGAATTTCTCAGAATGCTGGGGTTTAGAGTGAGTGCTGTGGCTCAGAGTGAGAATACATTTTACTTAACAGCTGCAATATAAAGAATATAAACGCGAACATTAACATTAATAAGAATATTTCCTCAACATGTTCAGACACCACGTAATTACTGATTACCAATTTGTAAATCATTAAATTGTGTTTTCCACTCTCCTGGATTGCAGTCTATAGGATTTACATATCAAATGTGAGAATCTTGTGGTCTATAGGATTTACATATCAAATGTGAGAATCTTGTGGTCTGTAGGATTTACATATCAAGGGTGAGAATCTTATGGTCTGTAGGATTTACATATCAAGGGTGAGAATCTTATGGTCTGTAGGATTTACATATCAAATGTGAGAATCTTGTGGTCTGTAGGATTTACATATCAAGGGTGAGAATCTTATGGTCTGTAGGATTCACATATCAAGGATGAGAATCTTATGGTCTGTAGGATTCACATATCAAGGGTGAGAATCTTATGGTCTGTAGGATTCACATATCAAGGGTGAGAATCTTGTGGTCTGTAGGATTCACATATCAAGGGTGAGAATCTTGTGGTCTGTAGGATTTACATATCAAGGGTGAGAATCTTGTGGTCTGTAGGATTCACATATCAAGGGTGAGAATCTTGTGGTCTGTAGGATTCACATATCAAGGGTGACAATCTTGGGGTCTGTAGGATTCACATATCAAGGGTGAGAATCTTGTGGTCTGTAGGATTCACATATCAAGGGTGAGAATCTTGTGGTCTGTAGGATTCACATATCAAGGATGAGAATCTTGTGGTCTGTAGGATTCACATATCAAGGGTGAGAATCTTGTGGTCTGTAGGATTTACATATCAAGGGTGAGAATCTTGTGGTCTATAGGATTTACATATCAAGGGTGAGAATCTTATGGTCTGTAGGATTTACATATCAAGGATGAGAATCTTGTGGTCTATAGGATTTACATATCAAATGTGAGAATCTTGGGGTCTGTAGGATTCACATATCAAGGGTGAGAATCTTATGGTCTGTAGGATTTACATATCAAGGGTGAGAATCTTGTGGTCTGTAGGATTTACATATCAAATGTGAGAATCTTGGGGTCTGTAGGATTTACATATCAAGAGTGAGAATCTTGGGGTCTGTAGGATTCACATATCAAGGGTGAGAATCTTATGGTCTGTAGGATTCACATATCAAATGTGAGAATCTTGTGGGCTATAGGATTTACATATCAAATGTGAGAATCTTGGGGTCTGTATTATTCACATATCAAGGATGAGAATCAAACAGGTACAATTCCCGGAAACCGCTTTGAACAATATAGCCATATAGCCCAGTTATAATTGGGCACTACAAAACGATTACGAGGAAATCACGTGCAGTCCAGTGTGATTGGCTCTTGTGGAGGATTGACATCATAGCCTACCAGGTGTACCTATAGATGCTCCGCCTCCAGCTGCAAATAGCTTATGGCGTTGATCAGCGGCTCTCAACCTTCCTAATGTCGCGACCCTTTAATACAGTTCCTTCATGTTATGGCGATCCCTAGTAATTATTCTCCTTCATAGCTTCAATGAATATATGTTTTCCGATGGTCTTAAGCGAGCTACCTCTACGAAAAAGTAGTTTGGGCCACACAAAAAAGGATCACTACCGGCAAGTTCAGAACCGCTGGTGTAGATCCTGCGGCATCAAGTTTAGTTGAATAAGACTGGTGATAGCTGTGATCCCTGTGGCAAATCTGGACATATCGTTTGCGGTTCTGAGGACCATCTACCACATGTGAGTACTATCTGTCTCTGAAACAGGACCGCAGCAATCCAGCGGATCAGAATAGGATTTACTTCTAGTTTAAGCAGTAATTGAATTAAATATTCTCTGACCATCCTCACGTTTGATCCGGCCAGGATCAAGTGGCACACTGGTTGTACTCACGTCATTCTTTTTCTTTTGTGTGTCTTTTCTTACTGAATCCAAGCTCAGTTCTGTATTCGTACTTGTCATCTTCTTCCTCTGTTCATGGAGAATGCAAACACCCAAGGAATATGCTGGCTGTTTGTCCACTTCAGGAACTTTGGTCTTGCTTCAGAATTTGAGTGATGCGTTTTACATATTTTTCTTATTTGTGGTATGTTGTACACGGCTGGCTCCTCCCTTATCAGGCAGGGACATTCGGTTTCGAAGACACCCCCCGCCCCCACCCTCCCCTCCGTCTAGCCTATTTTTACAACATGCTTTTTGTGGCCGCAAAGGGTTTATTCCACCCCCACCCACCCCACCCTTTTTCCCAGCAACAATGGAGCCCCAAACCCACGGAACGACTAATTCCTAGCTACGTTTGTTAGTTTGTTTGTTTTAGTATCCAGAAGCCATGAGTTGTTAACCTTTAGGCTCGGTATTTTGGATATCGCAACCTTTCGGCCTTGATTCTATTGTAAATACCGTAAATCTGGGAGAAATGTGGCTTTTCTGCCTACCCCCGGAAGTGAACCCGGACCACAGGGAGTTCGTCACCCAGTCACTGCGCAATCCGGTTTAGCCAACTACGCTAGAGAGCTGGGCAGCTACAATCTTACACATCTTATGTCATCTTATATCGTGTCTTCCATCAATGTTCGTTTATAAACGGTCTTCATAATGTTTGCATTGTCCACAATAACTATTCATGTAGCCAAACAAAAACAAAAAACATGTGTTTTTGTTGCTTGGTTCATGCATAAAGAACTGCTGATCACACCAATTTGTTCAACTTACCGTACTGATAGACCAGAAGACCACCAAAGACTGCCCCACAGCCTCGGCCTAACCCGTGATGTAGTCCTTGCAGGATGCCCTGAGCCGAGGACCTCAGTTCTACAGGGATTGCATGTGTGATGTACGCGCAGCAAGCAGCCCAAACAGCCGCGTGAGTCAGTCCTGAAGCCAAACAATTTTCTCAAAAGTCATGTCTGTGTTGATAGTATAAAAAGACCCTTTTCAACGTATAGGGCATATAGGGCTAGACATATTTTATACACCAATCGGCACTTGGTGGGGGATGTGGTTAACACCATTCAGGCTGCCTTTACTTCCTAGGACTGCACCTTGTACCCACTCAAGGCAGGGTCGACCTGGGAGCCAAGGTAATTTTTAAGAAAACGCGATTCCCTCAAAACCCGAACCCACGACCTTCCGATTCGCAGACGAGCTTTTAGCCGCTACACCACGGCGACTTATATGGTAATGGTATAGTTTGCTTTTATTGTCTTTATTCACCCTTTAATGGGCGTTTCTGTCTGAGTTATGGGTTAAGAGCTGATAACATAGCACACAGGACATTTCTATAAGCGCCCCCTCCCTATTGTTAGCAGCAAGTGCAGTTGCAGTTCCTATGGTACTCGTAACAATTTAATCTTATGTCCGTTTCGCCCCTCCCCTGGGTGTGGAGCATGGCCTAGATCCCGTGTCACGCCTGGCTGCACTATTCACTTAGGATCATGATGATCTCTTTCTACTTCCGGAATATTTACTGACCCCCAGTGCGCCCTTACAACACCTAGCTTGACATGCATCAGTTTACTACCAAGTGGTTCTCAACCAGCCAGTCTGTCTGTCTGTTCATTCCCTAGTACACCAGCATTACCTGAAGAAAATGTCCACAAAATATCGCTTCAACTTAGGATATCTGATTCCAGGAAATCTTGACCTGCACTTTAAGGGACAGTGGATCCTTTCTTTTCCTTATAAAACTCACATGGTAATGTCAGACAGTAACAATTAATTTGAACCAGCCCAAACTCTTTTAAGAGGTAACTTGACACAACCCAAATTCTATGAGGAGGTAACTTGACACAGCCCAAACACTATTAGGAGGTAATTTAACACAGCCCAAACACTATTAAGAGGTAGCTTGACACACCACAAACACTATTAGGAGGTAAATTTTTAAACCCCAATAACTATTAGGAGGTAACATGACACAACCCAAAAACTATTAAGAGATAACTTTACACAACCCAAACTCTATTAAGAGGTAACCTGACACAAAACAAACACTATTAAGAAGTAACTTGACACAGCACATACACTATCAGAAGTAATTTGACACTACCAAAACACTAGTAAGAGGTAACTTGACACAACACAAGCACAAGTAAGATGTAACCTGACACCACACAAACACTAGTAGGAGGTAACTTGACACAATACTAACACTAGTAGTAGGTAACTTGACACTATACAAACACTAGTAAGAGGTAACTTGACACAACACAAACTCAGTAGGAGGTAACTTGACACAATACAAACACAAATAGGAGGTAACTTGACACACCACAACACTAGTAAGAGGTAACTTGACACAACACAAACACTAGTAAGAGGTAACTTGACACAACACAAACACTAGTAAGAGGTAACTTGACACAACCCAAACACTATTTGGAGGTAGTTTAACACAGCCCAAACACTATTTGGAGGTAACTTGACACAACACAAACACTATTAAGAGGTAACTTGACACAACACAAACACTATTAAGAGGTAACTTGACACAACACAAACACTATTAAGAGGTAACTTGACACAACACAAACACTATTAAGAGGTAACTTGACACAACACAAACACTATCAAGAGGTAACTTGACACAACACAAACACTATTAAGAGGTAACTTGACACAACACAAACACTATCAAGAGGTAACTTGACACAACACAAACACTATTAAGAGGTAACTTGACACAACACAAACACTATCAAGAGGTAACTTGACACAACACAAACACTATCAAGAGGTAACTTGACACAACACAAACACTATTAAGAGGTAACTTTTCAAACCCCAATAACTAAAGGTAACATGATACAACCCAAAAACTATTAAGAGATAACTTTACACAACCCAAACTCTATTAAGAGGTAACCTGACACAAAGCAAGCAGTAGTAAGATGTAACCTGACACAACACAAACACTAGTAGGAGGTAACTTGACACAATATAAACACTAGTAAGAGGTAACTTGACACAACACAAACACTAGTAGGAGGTAACTTGACACAATACAAACACTAGTAAGAGGTAACTTGACACAACGCAAACTCTAGTCGGAGGTAACTTGACACAATACAAACACAAGTACGAGGTAACTTGACACACGGCAACACTAGTAAAAGGTAGCTTGACACAACACAAACACTAGAAAGAGGTGACTTGACACAACACAAACCCGGTACGCATTTAGTCATTATGTCCTCACTGTGAGGACGAGAAGAAGAAAACATATCTATTTCGTCTTCCATTCGCCTCTTCCTATTTCCATTTTCATGGAGAACGCTGTCGCTGTCGGTTTGTTGGACTCGTTTTTCACACGTTCCTGTTGGCAGCTATACTCAAACACCTCATCCAACAGGTGGTTAGCCCAGGGATAGAAAATTTCATCTGGTTTTTTTTTTAAGGACAATGCAGCACTCACCTTGTACAAACTCAAACGGCAGAACCCACCACGGGTTTGTCAGGAAAGAAATGTACAAAAACCTGGCAATGCTTCCAAGAAGTCCAGCGTAGAGAATTTTCACATGACCTGTTATCGAGGTGGGAAATAGTAATAATAATTAATAATAAACATATTTTTACTGAAGATATTTGTGAAAAATAGTTTAAGAAAGTAATAGACCCATTATACACCATTTACATCAGGTATACGATGATAGACTTTGTAAACTTCTTCTTCTCTTTGAATGGACCAATTAGTGAAAACAAAATAGAATGATTAGTGAAACATTATCTGCAAGATGTAGAGATGTGATTGTATCGATGAAAACTTACTGGACAGATGCCAAAAGTAATGAAAATGTCTTGAACACGCTTCAGAAAACTGATACTGGTGTCTTGCGCGCAGAGCGGCTTGCATCACTTGATTATGTTTACGAGGGATTTCAGATTGAAGAAGAGACATGTGCGGCAGCGGTGGACTTAGAAGATGCCTACAATAAAGTACTATATGAATATTTAATGCAATTACTGCTGAAGCTAGAAGTAAATCCTATTCTGATCTGCTGGATTGCTGCGGTCCTGTTCCAGAGACAGATAGTACTCACGTGTGGTAGCTGGTCCTCAGAACCGCAAACGATATGTCTAGGCTTGCCACAGGGATCACTGCTATCACCAGTCTTATTCAACGTGTATACGGTGATGATCACCGAACAGCAGTTGAATGGAAAGGGAAGGACTTTGTCATTTGCTGATGACATTTTGATTTATCGACAAGGGTGTGATAGACAGGAGATCACCAGTACAATGCACAAAGAACTTGATCGAATGGCAGCCTGGTGTGATGGTTCCAATGCCTATGTCAATCTTTCGAAGGCGTCAGGGTCATGGTTCTCTTTGAACAATCACATTGTCAAGTCGGACTTACCAGAAGTGAAAATGCCTGATAATGTGTTGATCAGAACCAATGTTATGACGTTTCTCGGGGTGAGGTTAGATAGCAGCTTGTCATTCAGGGAACATGTTGACAATGTGATAACAAAAGCACGCAAAGGTCTATCTGCAATGAGGATTATTGCTGCTTCCAATATCGAGCAAACACTACTAATACTTCTATTCTACGGTCTAGTCCTTCCCCCCATTGAATACGCTCTGGCCATCCTCACTGTCAGTGCTACCCAGATTGAACGACTTGAAAAGGTGCAAAATTAAGCAATGCGCATTATTTTGGCATGTACAAGAGACACATCCTGTGGAGCAATGAGGTATCTACTCGACTTTCCAACTATGAACCAAAGGATCAGGATCTGGAGGGCTCGGGCATACCTTAAAATATGTGCTAATAAAAAACACTTACTGTATCAAGCGCTTTTTAGTGAAAAGGGCGACAGGCTGAAGAAAGGAAAATCATGGCTAGGTCAGGCAGAAGATGTTATTAGGCAAATATGCAGCCTAACCGACATCACCCCTGGTGTAGAGTGGATATCTGTGCCTCATGCGTTTATTTGTACATTTCCCTGTATTGTCACACTCAACAGACGATGTAGAGAAGAGAATCCTGTTGCTGTTAATGCAGAGGTCAACGCTCTCATCAGTGAAAAATCAGACGAAGCAGATGCACCAATCTACACAGACAGATCCGTTATACGCCAAAAAAAAAAAAGCGCATGGGCATTCGCAGCACGCTCAGCGGGCAGAACAGTCAAAGAAGCCAACGGCGCTTTCTCCATGACAACCAGCAGCATGACGATGGAGGTGATGGCAGTGACGCAATCGTTCGCCTGGCTCGAAACACAAAACTACACCCGCGTATGTATACTCAGTGATTCAATGAGTAGGATCCAGAGGGTTCGGTGCGAAGACAATGGCTTGAATCATTACAGAAGTCCACTGTGCGTGGAGTCACCTTTATTTTTGTTCCGGGACAGGCAGGCGTTGATGGAAATGAAAAAGCTTATTAGGTTGGCTTGATCCGCTATCACTACCGACGGTCAGCCTATGGATCATGCTGATGTTATTAATGCCCTCAGAGAAATGGGAAGGATAGAGGACTTTGGGGGCAGTGAATTCACATCACTCACCAGAATGGCAGACTTGGGAATTAAGATCGGCATAGCAAAAAACGAGACGCACACCAGACACACCAGAAGACTTGTGAATCAACACAGAACTGGTACTATTAGCCATCGGACGTTAGGGTTCATACTGAGGCGAGGATCTGAGCACCTATGTATATGTCCGGAGTGCAATGATCAAAGCCCAATTAACTAACTTGACAAGACCAAGATCAAGAGCATTTCGTGGATTTTCTGTCCAAGATATTTACGTGTGCATGGTAACGAGCAGGCTGATAGATTAGCTGTTGTCGCTCTTCTGGACGGTGAGCTACTATGTGATAAAACGGATGTTGTGAAGGCTCTATGGGATCAAATAGACAGTGCGAAAGAACGGATAGGGAATCCATACACTGAAAGACTAGTTCAACGTAGGGTGTGTAGAGGTTCTGGAACATATTCATCCTTGAAGGGGAAACAGAGGAGGACTTGTAATCAGGTTACAAATAGTACTATTAGCATGTCAGCTCTTTGCTGGCTACTAAAGAAGGGGTCGGAGCACATGTGGGAATTTCCCCCAGAGCAGTGATGTCAATTCTTCCTTAATTCAGATGTCATGAAAGAAAGTGACTCGCAAAGAGAGCTGGTTGCCGACATCAAAAGCAAAAAATCTACTTTCTTCATGAGAATGAGAAAACCAGAGTAGATCGTGACGGTGGGAACGTTGGAGAGAAAGATAGGCGGGGGAGACCGATAGAGAAGATGCTGAACAGTTTGACATCATAAAGCGGGAAATCAGCTTGGAACAGAAGCAAATCGACTTCGCAGCCATGTGTACATACGATTTAAGATTGGCGAATCAGCCATGTGCATATGTGAATTGGCACCTGAGACAACAGATTTTGTTCTCCAAGACTGTCCCAAATACAACATGTCAAGGCAAAACTTTTGGTCAAGAGAAACACCGATATACGCCAAACTTTACGGGTCGCTGAGGGAATCACAAAAGACGGTGAAGTTCATACTAAAGACAACATTGCAGATATAGATAACTTATAAGCGAACGAAAGAAGAAGAAGTTGCACTTGACTATGTGAGGTGGTCAAGGGGCACCAGTAGTCTTGACTTCCAAGGGCATGGCTGGTGCCCATTTAAGCTGGGTCCTCCTGGGAGTCAAGGTCTTTTTTAGCGAGAGAAAAAAAATCTGCCCTAGTGCAGATTTAAACTCTAGACATTCATACTGGCAGGCTACTACACCAAATAGCACCTGATATTCCAGATTTTAAAAAAGGACAATTTTCCTCGCCTGAAAGCGTGCTGTGCATAGACATAGTAAGTAAAATAAAGTAAAGATCCCTTTTCACGCCTTTAGGGGCATCGGACCTCTGGGAAGAGCACCAATATTTTTAAAGACCAATCGGCGCTAAGTGGGTAATGTGGGCAGCATTACGCCAGCCGTCTTTACTTTCCCAGGCAGCCATCCTTCCTAACAGTGGGTTTCGATCGCGGTACATTAGAATTACGAGTCGGACTCGCAATGCCTAAGCCATGGACGCCGCATGCATAGACATGGTGCTAGACGAATATTTTTTTTTCGATCAACTGTCACTCTGTAGGTGATGCGCTCAAGATTGCGCCAGCCGCCTTGACTTCTTAGGACTTTAGCTAGAACCCGTTCAAGGCTGCGTCGATTTGGGAGCCAAAAGAAAAGTCCAGCTCCATTCGGATTTGAATCTATGAACTTCAGATCCGCATATAAGCTTCCAGCCGTTTCACCATGGCAGCCTCTTCCATATGTTTTCCTGTCACCCCCCCCCCCTTCCCACCGCCCCTCTTGCTTGCCCCCTCCCTCCCAAACATAAACTTAAATAAGATCAACACAAGAGCCTCAACTTACCATATCTGCCTATAAACGTCCCAGCCATGAAATAAGCAAACAGTTCTGACATGTGGTTGATGACCGAAGCCACGCCAAACAAGGTCGGAGAACCTCCCATATCTTGCAGATGCCAAAAGAGAAATGTGAAGATGATGCCGATCCCAAATCCCATGAACCAGGCAATGAATAGAACCGATATATACTGTATGGGAAACACAACAATGCAAAGCTAAAGACACCAAAGACTCCTCAATTAATACATTTGTTGGGTAAAGTCCCCTTTCCACTCCTTTAGGACGCGTGCGTCGGTGCATGTGGGTGTGGGTGTGCGTGGGTGCTTTGGTGCGTGTGGGTGCGTGGGTGTGCGTGCGCGCGGGCGTGTATACGTGCGTGCGTGTGTGTGTGTGTGTGTGTATACTAATCTTGGTTTGGTTTAGACAACGGATCAACATCATGGCACAAGGGGTAACCCGTAAGTGCACCCTTCTACTTCTGACTCAAGCCTGAGTCCGAAGAATCTCAGAGCATAGCGGGAACTCCCTAGCACCGGCGAGGATCATGAAAACACTTTGGGTAGATTTTTAACTCCACATTTTGCCCGGGCAGCGCCGTTAGGCTACTGTTTTCGATTTCAAACTGCCAAGAGACTTTTTTTCGTGCGCAACAATACACACGGGAGTCCGATCTAACGATCTTACTACCCAGAGACCAGGGGAAATTACTAAATGTGCACGTGAAAAAAATCCCAGCCTTCACCGGGGGCCTAAACCCGCAAACTCCAGCACTCGAGGCAGACGCACTACCTCGAGACCACACAGCCCTCCTACTAACCTTATATGTAGCCAGTAATTTAACAACAGCAATCCATCTACCAAAAAATGGCTGGTCAGAGTAATTTGCTTCTGCGCTACCAAATGGGATAGCTCCCATGACATCAGTATTCTGCAATGAACAATATTTAAATAAAATTATAATCTTATAATATCACTATATTTTAATATGATTTGTTTTTAAAATTAATAGAACAGGCAACAAGTCTGCGCCTGTGGCTTAGGCATTGCGAACACGCTTTGTAATGCCGAGGTGCTGGGTTCGATCCCCAGCTGCGGACGATTGGTTTTGCGTTGCTTTTGACAGTGGTACCGAGAGCTGGCAGTACAGAAAGCAATGGCAAACTACTGAATGTAAAATGTGCCTAGAAAAACCACAACAGCCAAAAAATGCTAGGGTTGGTTCTGCAACGTCCTGCAAAGGATACGCAATTAACTTTTAACAGGCAACAGGAACAATTATTATTAGCTTGTGCTGGGCGGAGTTAGGATTGTGAACATTTATTTTATAGGTACTTAATTTATAACTTACCCCTGACGTCACGACAACGTCACGGGAGACATTCCCAAAAAATTCTGGGGTGTTCAGGTTGTAGTTTCTCGCGATTCATCTACAACCAAGTTTAGGGTTGGGGTTAGGGTTAGGGTTAGGGTTAGGGTTAGGGTTAGGGTTAGGGTTAGGATTAGAAGACACTAGATGAACACTCAAAAAAAAAGCACCACACAACAGCACACTTGCACCCCTTGAAATAATGGACTGTCAGGTCAGCTGTGGATTTCTCACGGGGATTTCCTGTTTGGGGTAGGTTATAAATTAAGAACCCATTTATACTCCCTGCAGTAGTAGCATAGCCAAGAAGCCTTTTCCGGGCATTCAGTCGATTTGACATATAGGGCTAGTTCTGCGTGTAGAACTGTATTACATACATCAATCGAACCTTGCTGGTTCATATGGTTAACATCTGGCTGGCTGCCTTTACTTCCCAGGACTTTTTCCTCGACCCATTTAAGGTTGGGTCCACCTGAGAGGCAGGGTAATTTATTAAAGAAAAAAAATTGTCAAGTCTAGCATCGTTCGCATTTCTTCTTCGCTCGCCGGC